CAGAAGGCTTGCAAAGGAATGGAATGGAATGGAATGGAATGGAATGGAATGGAATGGAATGGAATGGAATGGAATGGAATGGAATGGAATGGAATCTTGTGACTGACCAGAGAGTCTGAGACAGCTGGACTCTGATTTGCCATTTATTAAAAACAACCACATGAGACCAATCTAAAATGCTTTGGGGTGAAGACAACAAAATCATGGCTTGGCCACACTCAGGGTGTGGTCATGTTCTCAGGGGTCACAGGACGAGGGAAGAGATGAGAATCTTGACTCCATGTTTCAGAAGGCTGATTTATTATTTTATTATATATATTTTATATTAAAAGAAAATGATCTATTAAAACTACACTAAAAGAACAGAAGAAAGGATCCTCTTCTCAAACTTCTCTCTGTCTCACAGAAGTCCCTGTAAATGCTCTTCTCCACTAAGGCATCATCAGAGGTTCCTCTGTGGAGGAGAAATGGAAGTGTGCTCTGACAGAAACCCCAGAACTCTCCCTGCAAAGCTTGAACCTTGCCTGTACCTCCCAGCAGTCCCCAGAATGGCAGAAAAACACTATTTTATTACTATTAAACTTCTAAAATTTTAAAAACAAGCGATTGGCGTTTTTCACAAAAGCAGCTTTCAGATATCAGGCTGCCAATCTCCCACCACCACAACCTGCCCCCCCCCCTTCTCTGCATTTTCTTGTTTATTTCGAGCTGCAAAAACCACAGAGCACAGCAAAGACAGGAAATAACCCAGTGGGACAGGAAGTGTGTGAAAAACACCAATCACTTGTTTTTGAAATTTTAAAAGTTCGATAGTAATAAAATGGATAAAAAAATAGCAATATAATTAATGAAAATTTGGACAATTTGAATTAGGACAGTATGAGACAATAGAAAAAAAAGTTACAGATGGTCCAGGTACCTCTTTCTGGGCAAAATAAGCCCAAAAAAGGACACAGTTAACAGAGGATTAACCCTTAAAAACAATAACCTGTTGCATATTCATACACCTCATACATGATGCATAAATTCCATTCAAACACAGAATTCTGTCTGGTCAGTGTCAACTTCTTCCTCTGAATCCTAAGGTGTCTTCAGTGCTGAGCAAGGTGGGAAGAAGTTAATTTCTTCTGCTAAGGGAGAAATAAATTCTTTTTTTTTATGAAAGATTTAGGTGTCCTGTGGCTGCTGTCTGGTCTGAGTGCCTCATTCCTTTCTTTAAAAAAATATTCCACATACATAGTTTCTATTTTAACATTATGTTATAGCATGAAACTATATTTAACACACTAGTAAAAAAATTAATACAGCATAACTTTCTAACATAACACTTATAATGTTCATTTTAATATTTGTGAAAAGCCAATCATAAAATGCACATTTTTCACACATATTCATACACCTCACACATGATGCATAAATTCCATTCAAACACAGGATTCTGTCTGGTCATTGTCAGCTTCTTCCTCTGAATCCTGAGGTGTCTTCAGGGCTGAGCGAGGCAGGAAGAAGTTTGTTTCTTCTGATAAGGGAGCAATAATATAAATTCTTTTTCTCTGAAGGATTTAGGTGTCCTGTGGCTGCTATCTCAGTGTGAGTACTTCGTTCCTCTCTAAAAAAGTATCTTACATAGCATAGTTTCTATTTTAACATTATGTTATAATATAAAACTCTATTCAACACACTACTTAAGATTAACACAGCATAACTTCCTGACATAACAGAATACTTATAAAATATTTGCAAAAATCGAAAAAATATTTGAAAAAATCGAATATTTGCCAAACGCCAATCACAAAACACCCACTTTTTCACAGGGTGCAAAGGGGCTGGGGCCCAGCTGGGGCAGGAAGAAGCCACAGCACAAGTTCCATGACGCCACAACCGAGATGTGGGTCAGCACTGGTGCTCGCCTGCAGCCCCACCACAAAAACCACTTCCTCTGGAAAGTGCAGCACCGAGGGCTGGGGTGGCACGTGGCAGGCAGGGCAGGGGCTGTGGAAAAGAACAGCGGCCGTTAGACCACAAGCCAAAGGGGAATGAGGTTCAGGGGTGCCCCCCTCACCACAGGCTGCGCTTGGGGGGTTGTTTTGGGCACAGCAGGAAGGATTGAGCTATGAATAGAGTGGGCAGGAAAAGGAGGGCAGAAATGCAGTATAAAGTGTTGGGGGGGTGATGCCTCTGGTTTTAGGTTTTCTGTTTTTCAGTGGTACTTCAGTTGGAAACAGAAATTTTTAATAAAAGGCAAAATAACAAATGTGAAAAATTAGTATTTTATGATTGGCTTTTTGCAAATATTAAAATTAATATTATATGTGTTATGTTAGACAGTGATGCTGTATTAATTTTCTTAGTAGTGTGGTAAATAGAGTTTAGGTTATAACATAATGTTTAAATGGAAACTATGTATGTAGGATTTTTTTTAAAGAAAGGAACGAGGTGCTCACACTGAGATAGCAGCCACAGGACCCGTAAATCTTTCAGAGAAAGAGAATTTATTACTCCATTATCAGAAGAAATGAACTTCTTCCCACCTCACTCAGCACTGAAGACACCTTAGGATTCAGAGGAAGAAGTTGACACTGCCCAGACAGAATCTTTTGTTTGAATGGAATTTATGCATCATGTATGAGGTTTATGAATATGCAACAAGTTATTGCTTTTAAGGGTTAATCCTCTGTTAATGTGGGTCCTTTTTCAGGCTTATTTTGCTCATAACTGCCCTGCTGCCATTGCAAACAACTCCAGGAGTGCTGGCAGGAGTTCTTTATTGCTGACACAGAGCCAGACTCCATCATCCAGGACAGGGAAAACCCTGACCCCTCACATCTCACAGCCTGTGTCAGGCAGGAGATTTGGCTAAGGGTTTACTGGCAGCAGCACAGTAATGGAAATGTTAAATGTGTTTCCAGCACAGCTGGAAATGTTTAAAAGGTGATAAAGAGGAGCCAGAATTGAATTCTGAGAGGTTCTGAAGCCATCAGAGAGCCAAAGTTCCATCTCCTCAGTGCAGCACACAAACATTTCCATGCCATGGAGTCCCAAAACTCTCAAGGTTTTACCTCCCAGTGTTTCAGCTGCGGAGAAAACCAGACAAGCACGAGAACAGAACCTCCTGAAGGTTCTAGAGAAGCTGAACAGTCTGGATCAGTGGGCAAAGCTCCAGGGCATGAGGATCAAGTGCTGCTCCAGCTCTGGGGTCACAGCAGCGCCTGCAGCTCCAGGCTGGGGAGGAGGAGGAGGAGGAGGAGGAGGAGGAGTGGCTGAAGAGCTGCTCGGGAGGGAGGGACCTGGCAGTGCTGGCTCCAGCTGTGAGCCAACAGTGAGCCCAAGCGGCCAAGAAAGACAACAGCAGCCTGGCTTGTACCAGGAGCAGTGCAGGGATCACCCCTGTGTGTGTCGGTGAGGCTGCAGCTCCAGTGCTGCCCTCGGTTCTGAACATCTCACTTTAAAAACACTTTGAGGGGCTGGAGCGTGTCCAGTGAAGAGCTGTGCTGGTACCAGTTGTTGGTTTTTCTCGGTGTGGATTGAAGGAACTTGAGACAGCAGTTCATGTTCAGACTCAAATGTTTACTATTTATCAGTAAAACAGTCTCACTGCTGTGAGTTGGGCAGCTTTTCATTAGAAGGCACAAAATGGCCAACAATCTTGTGGAGAGCCTGGTTCAAGTATGCCTTAAAGAAATATAGAAGCCTGCTGTAAAAGCAGCCTTTCCCAGGCTTGATCCTGTAAATAATTAGGTTCTCAGCCACCTTCTATATAAACAACAAGATTCTCAAACCGTTCTGTCCTTGGCTGCTACTGGGAGCAGACAGTCAGTCTGGGAATAGAGATGAAGGTTTTGGGAACCTTCCATATCAGGGTGAGAACACTGATCTTGGTTTCAGTAAACTAACTTCAGGTATTGTAAACAAGAGGAGCTGAAGTTTTCTCTACAGCCTGTCAGGAGCTCAGATTTTGCAATATGCATGAGCTTAATTAACACGGTTATAAAAAGTGCTGGATTGATGAATAAACCGGAGTCAGATGTGAAAAATCAACAAAGGTGGTCGCTCCCTCACTTCGACACAATCTCTTGTCACAAGGTCTTTTAAGACTGAACTATCCAATTAAGAACTGAAACCTGGATTATTTTCCCTTTTAACCCAAAAACTGATCCCAGTGTGGACTTTTCTGCCCAATTACAAAATGCCACCCAAACCCATGAAGAAGAAAGAAGAAGAAACCCAGGACAACACCCTGTGCCCTCCATCTTGCTTCCATCCACAACACACTAAAATTCCCAAACTCTCAATTCCTCACCCAGTGATGCACCTACACTGCTCTCTATATTTCACACTTTTGTGGGTTCCAGTCTATCTTGAAGTCTGGGAAACTTTGACCATGAATGAGGGTCAAAGTCAGAGCTCCCATGGGAACCAGGGCATCCCGGAGCAGACAGAGAAATATTCCCTGTGCCCTGGGTTTTCACAAAGAGCAACAAGGCTCAAGAAAGGACTAGAAAATATTTCTCTTCTGGGGGATGGCTGAGGGATCTGGGGTTGTTCAGTGAGGAGAAGAGGTGGCAAGCTGGCAACAGACCCTGGGAGACCAAAAGGCAGGAAAGAGGGAGATGAAAAGGGTGGATGACAACTGAATTTCTATGATCATTTGTTTCCTGCTTCCCTGCAAAACTGGGGCACAGGAAAAAAGCCTGTTGGGTAGAAAGGAAGGGAGAGAGGTAAAACCAGGGAGAGGGAAGCTGGATGCAGGAGAAGCTCTGTATTTGTCCCCAGTATGGAAAAGGCTGCAGTGTCATAAAGAGTTTTATTGATGGAAAGGATCAGAGTTACACAATGAGGCTGCAGACCCCTCCAAAGGACACTCTGAGGGGGGGAAATCTTGAACCCTGCATCTCTTCTTCCATCAAAGAAGAAGGTGAGAGTGTGCTGGGCACTTCCCCACGCCAGGCTTTGCCATCAGGAGCACTTCAATACCTGGAAAGAGAGCAGGCAACATCAGCAATGTCACTGCAGAGCAGAGGGGACAGAGCTTTCCCAAGCCCCAGTGATCCTGTGGCACCTTGCAAGAGCAACAACAGGGAATACCCCCACTCCCAACACCCAATTGTCCCCGTCCCCAGCTGAAAACAACTCCAGAGCTGAACCCCAGCCATGCCTCAGCCTCACAGAGCCCCCAAAGAAAAATGGGGAATCCGTCTTATAAGAGAAGAATGTGGGCAGTCTTAGTTAATCTGTTTGATTATAAAAGTCAAAAAAGACAGGGTTAAAATCAGAAATAAATCCTCACTCTGTGCCAACCCAAAGCTCAGCTGTGCTTGGCCAGGAGGAGCTCGGGACTCCTGAATTTATTATCATTCTAACTCTCCCCCAAAGGAGAACAGTGCTGTGTTTGTCCCTTTTATGACCCTTCAGTACCTGTCAGGCTCTCCCACAGCTCAGCCAACGAAATTGATGACGACGAGATGCAGAATGGTGTTGGCAAAGAGGAAATCAGCGAAGGCCCGCTCGGGGGAAATGCCCTGGAACTCGCCCTTGTTCTGGGGGTTGATCTGGATCCGGAGGCAAACTGCACAGCACAGCAAGAAGAAGACATCAGTGAGCACAAGAGAAAACCATGGAGGAAAGCAAAGCCTTCCTGGGGCAGCCCAGCCCAGGATGTTCCACCCAGGGAGAAATGTCTCCATTGTTCCTAGAGAGGAGCAGGACACTGCCAGGGAATTTGGATGGGGCTGTCGTGGAGCCAGTGCTCCCACAACACCACAGGGTGCCCAGATCCTGAGGGGAACAGGCTCAGAGCAGGCCTGGAGTCACACAGG